AACACAATACAATATGTGGCAATTATGCAAGCATTGGACACATTGGATCCATTGCGTTACAGCATCCGCGGACCTGCCTCCGGCAACACGTCACTTCCGGACGTGGATTCCTCTCGCTTCGCGGGGCGCACGTCCGGAGCACGTAAAGACTGGGCGTTGGGTGGTTTGCCCTGCTCGTCTGCCGCGTTGGTCTGAAGTGTCGTTTTGCTCGCCCTGGGGCGCTGCCAACGCCACGGGGGGCGGATGTGCCCCCTCAGGTTCAGCTTTGGGACGAGCGTGCGAATGTCCACGAGGGCAATGAGCATTCTCCGCGTGTCAGCACAAGGCTGGTGTATATGTTCGGCAACCGCGCTTTGCACGAGGACTTCTACCTCGGGGCCACTTCCCTCCTTCCGGCAGTATGTATTTTTTCCATCCGCACACCTGCCAGCACACGCTCGCGTGCCTGCACCTGGAGGTGCGCTGCGCCCAGTGGAGTTCGTGCGATGAACGACGTGCTGCACCTGGTCCAGACCGTCAGCTGCCCGCTCAGTGCAGTCGTTGTGGGACCTTTTGGGAACCTCTTGGGGGCCTCTTGGAGGCCTCTTGGGGGCTTTTTGGGGCCTCTTGGGGGCTTCGTGGGGGCCTCTTGGGGCCTCTTGGGGGCGTCTTGGGCCGTCTTGGGGCGCTTTTTCGCCGTTTCGCCTCTTCGGAGGCCGTCTTGGGGTCCTCTCGCGGCCTCCTTGGGGTCCTTTTGGGCCGTCTTGGGGGCCTCTTGGACCGTATTGGGGGCCTCATTGGGCCGTCTTGGGGCTCTCTGGGGCCATCTTGGGTCCCCCTTGGGTGCTTCTTGGGCCTTCTCGGCGTCATTTTGGAGGCTGCTTGGGCCGTCATGGGCTTCTGAGAGCCCGAAAAGGCGAGAATGCTAAAATGTTTCAGAAACCTATAGGAAATCTGTGTTTTTGGCCTCTGGAGGCGCTCTTGGGGGGCCTCTTGGGGCCCTCTTGGGGCGTCTTGGGAGCTTTTTGGGCCCTCTTGGGGCCATCTTGGGCCGTCTTGGCCCGTCTTGGGGAAATCTGGAGCCGTTTTCACGCCCTCTTGGACCCCCAAGAGGGCCAACAGGCCCAAATCATCGTTTTTTCAATAGGTTTTTGTAAGTTTTTGAGCCCCAGGAGGGGGTCTCCACCTTGGGTCGACGGATGTGGCGTAGCGCTGGGTGGGGGGTTAGGGGGGAGACATAATAATGTAACACAATACAATATGTGGCAATTATGCAAGCATTGGACACATTGGATCCATTGCATTACAGCATCCGCAGACCTGCCTCTGGCAACACGTCACTTCCGGACGTGGATTCTTCAGGTTTACGCCACATCCGCCGACCCCTCGAACGAGCCAGTGCGTCCGTATTGTGTCTTGTCCGTCCCTGGTGGTGGCGATGATGATGTTGATGATGACTTTGATGGTGATGATGATGATGATGATGAGGATGATGATGATGTTCAGGAGGACGATGCTGATCATTATTAACATGATGATGCTGATGATGAGGAGGTGGAGGAGGAGGATGTCCGAGCAAGACGAGGAGAAGATGATGAGGAAGAGCAGGAACTCCGAGGAGGATGAGGAGGAAGAGGAGGAGGAGGAGGAGGAACTCCGATGATGATGACCATGATGATGATGATTATGATGATGATGATGATGATGACGATGACGATGACGATGACGATGACGATGATGATGATGTTGATGATGATGCTGATGATGATGATGCTGCTGATGATGATGGTGATGGTGATGGTGATGGTGGTGGTGATGATGATGATGCTGATGATGATGATGATGCCGATGATGGGGTCTTCGCGTCCCTTCGGGCTCTCCTGGACCATTTTGGGGCCACCTTCGGGCCTCCAGAACACATCGGCAACGAAATGGCGAAAGGCACAGCAAAAAATAATGTTTTCGTTTGAGTTTGGAGCTACTTTGCTTCTTGGAGGGTTTCTCGGAGGGCTCGGAGGGCACTTGGAAGTATCTTGGGGCCGATCATGCCCTTCGTGGCCCGGCTCGCTGCCCTTCGTGGCCCCGCACATTTTGTCCTTCGCGGCCCTGCTCGCTGCCCTTCGTGGCCCCGCTCGCTGCCCTTCGTGGCCCCGCTCAAGCCCTTCGTGGCCCAGCTCGCTGCCCTTCGTGGTCCCGCACATTTTGCCCTTCGTGGCCCCGCTCGCTGCCCTTCGTGGCCCCGCTCAAGCCCTTCGTGGCCCAGCTCGCTGCCCTTCGTGGCCCCGCACATGTTGTCCCTTCGTGGCCCCGCTCGCTGCCCTTCGTGGCCCCGCTCGCTGCCCCTCGCGGCCCCGCTCGCTGCCCTTCGTGGCCCCGCTCATGCCCCTCGTGGCCCCGCTCGCTGCCCCTCGCGGCCCCGCTCGCTGCCCTTCGTGGCCCCGCTCATGCACTTCGTGGCCCCGCTCGCTGCCCTTCGTGGCCCCGCTCGCTGCCCTTCGTGGCCCCGCTTGCTGCCCTTCGTGGCGCCGCTCGCTGCCCTTCGTGGCCCCGCTCATGCCCTTCGTGGCCCCGCTCGCTGCCCTTCGTGGCCCCGCACATGTTGCCCTTCGTGGCCCCGCTCGCTGCCCTTCGTGGCCCCGCTCATGCCCTCCGTGACCCAGCTCGCTGCCCCTCGTGGCCCCGCACAGTTTGCCCTTCGTGGCCCCGCTCGCTGCCCGTCGTTGCCCCGCTCGCTGCCCTTCGTGGCCCAGCTCGCTGCCCTTCGTGGCCCCGCTCATGCCCTTCGTGGCCCAGCTCGCTGCCCTTCGTTGCCCCGCACAGTTTGCCCTTCGTGGCCCCGCTCGCTGCCCTTCGTGGCCCCGCTCGCTGCCCTTCGTGGCCCCGCTCGCTGCCCTTCGTGGCCCCGCTCGCTGCCCTTCGTGGCCCTGCACATTTTGCCATTCGTGGCCCCGCTCGCTGCCCTGCGTGGCCCCGCTCGCTGCCCTTCGTGGCCCCGCTCA